GAGAGAGAGAGAGAGAGAGAGAGAGAGAGAAGGGGGGAGAGGTTGCATTGGTCAGTTGCTTACACCATGAATGCATCACCTATCATAGTTGTTTTTGCGAGCGAAGCTGCAGCAGGTCATCGAGTACAGTATAGGAAGTTATAGCGTGAGTACACCCTTAGTCACTGTAATGCAGTCACACTTGGCAGGTACTGCCCCTAAGACGTTGTGGGGCAAGGATTAGCGACCAGCAAATGTGAGGTCAGAATGTGCAATACAGACATGACAGTCTGGTTGTTCTTAAGAGTTGTGGATTTTTGATTTTTGGTTGTTGATTTCTTTCTGGCACCTTGTGTTTACTCTACCCAAGCTTGAAATACCCGTCTTTCATCTAAGGGTGTATAACTGCCCAGACAATTGGTTTGGTAGAACCTTGCATGGTGGTAAGGTACGCGCTTTGGTTTGCTGGTTGTTTGCTGCCCTTGATTGCTTGCTTGATCACTGCAATGTGTTCTGTCACTATGCAGGTACCAAACACAAGGCTGTGTGGGGTAACAAATGACAATCATCAGTAACATGAAGCGAGAGTGTGTGAACATAAAAGCTCGAAAGTTTTTCTTGAGAGTTTGGGTCGATTGTTGAATGTGGTTGGTTGCTGAAAATTATACCTTGTCTTCCTTGTTTCCTTCCCCCCGCCCACTAATTATGGGTGTTGAGGTTTGCTGGCTGTTTGCTGGTCGTGCGACCAGATATCAGAGGCCATCCGTGATGGGGCGGAGGGTTTCTTCCGCACACAATACGGGACAATTTCCCGTATGGCCGTTGTCCTTGGGCTAAGTCTGTTCGGGATTTATATGTTCAGACGGTCGACCCCGGAACAGGAAGCAGCCGGTCTCCAAAGGTATGGATACTCCGCAACAAGTATAAGCTGGCACACCTTTTTCAATTACCAGAAAAATAACACTAACGAGGAACAATAGACAGAAGGTCGTAAAACTGTTTTGACGAATGAATGTAATTCTTTTTGTGTGGTGTTTGATTCGCCTATCTGGGTTCTTAGGGAAGGCTAGCCGACATGCGCTGCAACAAGTTTTCTAGGCTTGATAACCCATCATTGAAATCAGTTAGGCCTCTTTCAATGTGTTGAGCTGGTTCATGCAGTATCATGAAGCATATGCTCCCCTCCTCTGCTTTTTTCTCTCGATGATTCAGTTTGCAACCCTTCACCAGGCAATCCTTATCTCTTTTGAAGTTGACCAATGTCAAAGAATTGGGCTCGAGTATCGTTGAGGTCCCCTCCCTTTGTCTGTGATCCTGTCCTCCCCTCAATCCCGCTTTTAGTGATTCAGTTGTGACTGCCCCGACTCCTTTGGGCTGCTCTCAATAATTCAGTTGCGATTCAGTATCGCTGAGGTCACCAGCTGAGGATGACCTCTCTCTGAGGCTAAGGAGTGTCAGAGTAGTGTGTTCTCGTGATCTCTGAATACGTTTGTTGTCCGTATCCTTCCGAGGTCTTGTAACGCGCGTCTCGCTGTTGCCAATTTCATCATGGTCAACGTTTCTGCTATGTGCATTGCAATTCCACCTCATGCCAGTTGTCTAGGGATTTTCACAGTTGTTTGCTTGGATAGGTTACTGATATGTCCATGGAGATACGGTAGAAGTAGAGTGTGCATCTGTTTAGTCATGCATCCAATGTTCATAACGGAATTCCTTACAGCTTTCCTACAAGGTCTGCCATCGTTTTTTTGCCATTTGGCTTCACTCGGAATAGTAGGATGCTTGCTGAATGGGGCCTGTAGCCAGCGCCCCACGTCTGCTGCAGTGATGTCGTGTACTGATAAAGTTCATCTCACCGGTACTGGTATGGCAACCCATAAGAGCTGTTGGCCCCTGTCTGGAGTGGCAGAGGGGTCAGGTTGCTGCACTGAAAGATGAGGCACCCAAGTAATCTGTCTGCTTGTGGTCGTGTATGCATGTGGAATCTGTGGATATGGGGGCAGACAGCATATGGTTGATTGTAGGAATGGGTGTCCCATGTTTCCTTGTGAAGCAGCCGTGTTTCAAGTACACTTTTACCTTAGTAACTCCATTTCAAAAGGGTGATGTTTTTTGCGTTGGGCCAAAATGTGCCAAGCTGCTCCCAGTCACTGAATCCTGGCAGGGGTGTTATTTTCGACGAATTTTGCACCGAATTGCACTGAAATTGTCATATTGTGCTGATTTTTTGCTTTTTTTCTTGTTTTTCTTTTTGTGTGATATATATGTGCTTTAGGGTATGTCATGTGTGCAGTTTTGACATGTTTGGATCAATAATGAAAAAGTTGGCATTTTTTTGAATTCGTTGGACGCTTCATTTTGACTCGGACAGTGTCTTTGTGTTAGGGTTTCATAGTGTTTTTTTGTTTTTTTTTTTCGTTTTTTTTGGCCTGTTTCCTTTTTTGATGTTTGCACTATGGTCTCATATCGTTAGTTTTTAAAATTTTTGATGAAATTCGCACCGCAATTGCCAACGAAAACGGCGAATATTTGGGCCCCCATTAACCGTCTCTCGCGTTGCACCCGCCAACAAACATTTCTCCCCTGCCCTTCACAAAAGGCAGGCTGTTTCTGTTGTTGAACAACGCACCCCCCTTGTTCCAACAGTGAATGGGAATAGTCAGATTACACAAGCAGATTGAAAGTGGATGGCTGACTTGCAATGGTCTGGTCTTAACATTTCAGACCAAGACTGGAAAGCGTCGCATACACTTGATTTCTCCTTCCGGACTAAGAACGAGCCTTTTAGTCTCACCTGGCCCTTTGCTGCAAAGGGTGTGACGAACTCACAGGTTGCACTCGTGCCGTGAAGAGTGCTACATCCTCCAGACTGGATATTATGGCTCATCGGTGGTCTCAGTCGATCGTGACATTCTGCACGAAGTAATAGTGAGTTGGCTATCACTCCTTCAGTTGTGCAAGCTAATGCCGTCAGGAACTCAGTCATGCCTCCCGGTAGCAAAGACGGGATTTGAAGCTGTGACTTCTGACGTGTGATAGCCAGCTTGCTTCATCTGGCTGTGATGTCCTTTAGCCAGTTGGCCATCTCTTCATGTGATGGGCAGCTGTTGTTCTCATGACAGCTTTTCTGATGCTGGTGTCTTTGCATTTCGTTGTTGTCCGTAGTCTTGCATGGTGGAGCAAAGGTGAAGCATAGTTATCTTGCTTTGATGGGCATTGGTATGATTCCCTTTCAGAAAATTGCTTGCGCCTTGTCGAGAAGACGTTCAAGCCATTTGATTGTCGCAGTTCTTTTTTATCCTGGAAGCAGGTGGGCCCTTCGGTTGCTTTCTCAAATGCAAAACAATGGATGAAACAGGAAACCTCAGCGAAGTGAGTATGAGACAGATGGAGGGGCAGTGAAAGGATGGTGGACTGGAATGTTGTGATTCTGTCCTAATTCTGCATCTGGAAGCACTCATTTTCATGTCTGGATTCCACAAGACTGTGGAGATGGATTTTACAGAATGTTATGGGGTCTGAAACCACCAGATGTGGTTGATCCCTTTTTCTGCATGTCATTGAATCTCCTGCAGATTGACTCTCGCGGTCATTACACTCCTGTCATTTCTCCTTGGGGCAGTCTGCTCTGGCGTTGCTGGATACGTGGGTATGTGGGTCTCCGTGCGTGCGAACAGCCGAGTCGCAGGTGCAGCCCGGCGCTCTGCCAGGGAGGCACTTCAGGTAGGTCCTGCAATTCCTCTGTCAGACGTTGGGGAGGTGGGCTTGACCCCAGGACCACTACGTTGTAGGTGGCTGGCAAGAGCATGCCAGTCATCTGGCTTTTTGTTTTTCCT